GCAGTCGCCGCTCTCGCCGCGCTTACTCATTAGATAAATTGTAATACGAAGAGCAATTAACCGTTACAATGGCCAATTCTGTTGTTGTGCTCAAACAAAATGCACTAACAATAACAATAACAATACCCATAAAAGCGCGCGACATTGATGTGAAGTTATTTTTTGTTTGTTGCTTATCGTAGAYTCATGACGTCATGGTCGTCATCGTTTGGCTGACTGGTTCTTGAGTGAATGAGTCGCGCTACCACTCAACAACAACAGCAACAACAACAAAAAAAAAAGCCACCAACAACAACAGCAACTTGTTGTGCTTTGTAGTAGATTTGTTTGCTTATTCGCTTCTTGTTTTTGTACATTAGCACTGCGGGCGTGTACGTTGACGCCGCTGCCGCTGCCCTCGGAGCAGCCAAGCTGTCATCCGGCCAGCCGGCCAGACGGCGAGCCAGCCAGCTGGCAGAGGCAAAAGGCGTAAACGAAATTGAAAATACTTTGCAGTTTCAGTTTCGTTTTTAACGTACGCGCGCCAAGACGCAAAAGCAACAGCTCGAAAACCAAACGCATTGCCCAATACGAATTCTCAATACAAAACACAAGTGTGACCAGCGCCTGCGAATTCAATTCGTGTATCCAAAAAGTAAGCGATCGTATCGAAAATTTATGCGTAAACTAGGCAGGCAGGCACGCTACATACATACATGCATGTGTACATGCATACACTCATGTGTGCAAGTGTGCGTGTGAGTGCATATTACGAATTCAAAATTTACACGTTTTACTAGCTCCAATTTTGTGTGCGCGTTGATGAAACGTAGACATTTTTTTTAAATAAAACCATAACAAATTGGCAAGGGATCAAGTTCAGGGCGTGGCATATTATCATTCACATACAGAAACGACACCGAATTCCCAAGGAACGTGCTCCCTGAGTGGGTCAATAATAATGAGCTCCATTAGCGATGATCTCATGGCGGGACACTTGCAGAACGCAGCCGACGCCGCAAGCAGGCAGGCGGCAAAAATGGCAACAACTAAATAACTGATTGCTTCAATTACCGTTATCAGTTTTTTCTCTTGCTTTTGGTGCGCTGGCAATCAAAACTCTGATTGACCTAATCTTTGCTGTTGCTGCTGCTGTTGTTTGTTTGCGGTTCTTTCATCAGCGAGATTCAAATTTATATGCACATTTCTGATATATAAACATGGTTCGAGCATGATATCATTTTCAAAAGAAAAAAAAAAAAAATTAAAACCGGCGCCTGTTGCTACCTTTGTATATTGTTTTTTGTTTTATTGTTGATATTTGAAAAAAAAAAAATGTGAAAAAACGAGAAGCACATGTATGTATGTATACACGTACATACATACATATTTAAAATGTAGACCCTCGAGAGCGTAACGGAAATCCGCTCAGTAATCAGCATAAAATGTGGTTCGGTTTGTTTTGAATGCCTGTTTCTTCAGCTTCTTCATTTGATTGGTGTTTTTGTTGTAGTTTTGAAGAGGGCAGGGCTCGAATTCGAAACTTGAATATATTATTTGTTTTGTAATTTGTTACGTCATCGCATTCGACCAGGGTAAATGCTGTAGAGGATGGCGTCATTGTTTTTGTTTTTTGTTTTTTTGTGCTGGAAGCGTCTGAGTAATGTCATAAAGACCTTGATGCCATAGACGAGGCATTCCATACATACATAAGCAATGAGCAATGAAAAGTGTAATTAGATAGATTTGTGGAAATGGCAAATAAAACTTGTTCAGACAGATGCTCGAATCTGCAATCTGAGGATCTACTAATGTACATACATACATAAATATGTATCTCAGTATGTAATTGTTATACTGAGATTCATATGTACATACATATGTATATATGCATATAGACATGCCGATCTTTAAGCAATCGCCCATTGCTTCCACTCGCTCAACACTTGCCATTTGGGCACACACACATACACACACACGCATTTACGCGCGCCCCCATTTCAAAAAGTTTATAGACAAAAATCATGCACACACACACATATATATGTGTGAACCTATGAGTATATGTATGTATGTGTATACAGTATGTATGTGTGTATATATTTTAACAAAATTTTCAATTTTCCATCGAAATATTTAGCTGAAGCACAAAAGGCAGCAGCAGCAGTAGCAGCAGCCATAAATCCCATGACGTCACTCTATGGCTATAAAAGACGACCACTGATACATAAAGAGCGAGAGAGGGTGTGTGGGTGTGTGTTTGTGTGTGAGAGAGAGAGGCATATACTATGTATGTAGGCATGACAGTAAATAGATTTTCATGTTTCTCCTGCGCTTTTCTCAATAACATTTGGCGCGCTCAGCGAGGCCGAAAATTCGAAAATGTTTAATTTTAGAATTAAATAATAACAAATTATTTTGGCCAAAAATACTACAGTGCGATTGGGCATGGCCGGGGGGCGTAGCTAGGGCAGCAGCAGCAACAGCAACAGCAGATCTGTAACAACTGTAAAAACATTGGAATTCAACCAACAAACAACATAATCAATTATTTACTTATGTAAATATGGCATTGTATACAAACGGACAATATTCGAAATCAAAACTTAGTCGGGCATTCAATATTTTCAGTTAGCAACTTCCAAAAAATACGAAGAGATCAAAATTTACACTTTATATGCAGACATGAATATTTGTGTAGATTAATAGGTCCTATAAGCTTCTCTATACATACACATATGTATATGTCTATGTATATATATTTATTTCAAAATACTGAGGGGACGTACATATCTATCTACTAATAATAAAAGTTCTCAATATAACGTTTTTATAGGATTTTTAAATAAATAGTTTTTTTTAAGAAATCGTACTTCTTTTTCGAAAAATGTGATGAGAGTATATTAATACAGTTTCTATTTGCATGAGAGAAATTTTAATTTTTTATATTTGCATATTTATCATAAGTTTTAGATCGGGACCTATTATAGCTTCACTAAAGTTGTCCCCTTGTATTTCTTATTAAAAATTAAAAAAAAAAAAAAGAAAACTAAAGATTTCGAAATGCGATTAGAGGTTTACCGCATGTAAATTCTTTTATGAATTTCTATCTAATTTGGATCAATCACATCACATTAGAATATCATCAATTTAGAGTATTTAAATAAATACTATGAATGTACCTAATTTTGTGCAATGAATCAATGATCCATATTTATAAATTATACTATGAAAGCAATTCGTGTCTATTTGTTTAAATAGTTCGATTGAAAGCTGCTAAATTGGACAATTGGTTTACTTTCTTTCAGACCCAAGAAACACCCACCTTAACCAGCCACCGTCTAAGTAACCACCGCCAAGATGTCTCACTCCGTGACCATAACACGCACTACCACCAGCACCACCAACACCTCCTACATTGTGCTAAACACTGGCTACATTAAGACCTTTCCGGGTATTTTGAAGCTCTTCCAGCTGGTAATTAAATTGATGCATAATTGTTGGTCCACCCTAATAACTCAATTTCTGTGTGGTGCATAGCTCATTGGCGTTGCTGTGGTCACCCTGATGGCGATGCACTACAGTGATAGTGTCTACTATCGCCAACAGCAATATCTGTTCCACTACTTGATGGCCACCACATTTATGATAGGGACATTTTGTTTATTCCTAGCGTGTCTCACATCGCTGAGCACGGGCGGACTCATCGCCAAGACGATCTACGTGAGTGAACAAAATATTATGATAGTTCTAATTTGAGCTGTGATTGCAAATGTAATTTAATCAACCTCAATTGGGCTATTCCATTTATAGGAGCTGATCTATCACTCTGTTGCCGCCATACTGTTGCTCGTCTCGTCCGCCTGCTTGCTAATTAAGCTGCGTGATAACAGGCACGATGCCTATATGGCGGCCGGTGTTCTGGGCCTGGTCAACACGGTGCTCTACTTCATAAGCGCATTCCTGGCACATCGCTCGTATCGCGGCATTTAAGCGGAAAACTCAATCGCTGGCATTTCGCGAGATCTAATATAAACAGTTCATCAGAAACAGAAACAGAATTAGAATCAAACTCAGAATCAGAAATGAATATAGCTATGCTATAGTCAATTACAGCCCAAGCCATACAAAGGAGTCTCTCTGTTCTACTGTATAATTGTAAAAATTTTAATTTGTGGCGCTATTGAGTAATTAATCATATTACCTGCATACAAACATCTATATATACATACTATATATATTAATTTTATAATATCGTTTTTCTTTTTATTGTTTTAATTATTGTTTTTATTTTATTTGTGCTGTACTCTTATCTCAGTGTCTGTCTTTTATACCAAACAGCATATATTGTATTCGAATAAACGTGTCTTTATGTTTTTATACAAAATGTGTTTACTTCATAAATCAAACTGATCTACCCGATATTAAAGTCCTGCTGAAGTAAGAAAAGTAAATAAATATCGTGTATCGAGTTCAAATCGATTCTTGCTTGTAAATCGAACCAGAAAGTGTCAAATTATATATATGTATTATTACTAATATATTATTCATATTTGAAGGGAAATAAAATGTTCATATATCAATCATTTAATGCCGCAAAACAATATATAAAAATATTTAATCAAATTTTCTATATGAACCAAAGTTTGGTTCACGGGTAACAATTTCAAAGGAACACAGAAATTTTTGTTGTGCAGCCCTGGCTTTTAAACTTTAACGTCTTTCGTGATCAAAACAAAGTTCAAACTTATGAACACAATAAAAAATTCTTTTCGAATAACTCAATGATTTTAACTAATTTCAATAAAATTGGAATACATTCGTTCAAATATGTTTTATTCTGCTCCATGTTGAAGAAAAATTTAAAAAAGGTATGAACTATTATAAAAATCAGCAATGCTTTATGAATTGAATATGTATATGTATATGTATGTATATATGTATGTGTATACTATTATAATATTATAAACATGGTTTGAAGAGTAATAATATTTCATAATTCAGCCTAATCCCACTTGAATTATTTTCAAATTCTTCAAATTTTTAGTTTTGAGCTTCAGAAGGCGTGTCTGTCCAATTGGAAATAATATTGACAGGAATGGATCATGAAAAAGACGACAGCAACACATATATTGATGGCTATGAAGTACATGAGTCCGACTATAAACTCATTGCACGAGAGCTCCAAAAAGGGCATGCGCTCGTGGAGTATGACCGAGTCTATGAAGAGCACCACCGAGAGGACGCCGCCGACTAGCATCATCTGTGGATCAGGTGGAGGGGGTGACAGGTGCAGGTGTGTAAGGTGTGTCGGCAATAGGCGCTTACCGCATTGGAGGTTATGAAATTAATGTTAAAGTGGCTCAGGTATTGGGCGCGTATTAGTAGCATCACGACGAACGTATAGAAAATGGTCAGCACCAGCGTCCACTTCATGTAGAAGAGCTCCAGCCAGGTGAGATGCGCACCGCCCACACTGTCTACGATGAACGTGCGTTGGCATCGATTGCGGCCACCGCCGATCGGTGGCGCCAGCTTGTAATCGGTGTGCATCGCCACATCCTGGTTAACGTACACGATCTTGTTGAGCATGTGCAGGGCACCAAAGCAGCAGATCTGCAGCAACAATGAAACAATGAGATCACGGAACAGGAATGGCAAGACAGGCCCACTCACGAAAGCGCAGAACGCTACAAAGCCGGTGCTAAAGCCCAGACCTCTGCACATCTTGCGACGACGAGCTGACAGTAGCGACTGGCCAACACAAGGAGGACACGCAATCCACATGTTGTCGCCACTGCTGGTGCAGTTGCAATCGGAGATGCCTCGTGTGGGAGAAGAGCAGCTGGTTTGCATGGCTGGCAGTGAACAGTAAACAGTTTTATTTTACAAATGTTTTTTGGCGACTTTAATGCAGTTCTTAATTATAAATGTGCAAGTGCTTTGTATGTGTGTTAGTGTGTGTGTATACATGTGTGGAGCTCTAAAATTAGTCAACGTATGAGTGTGCTTATGGCATGAAATTGTGTGAAATTGCCATCAAAATATAAACAAAAACTTTGGCCATATACCCCAACTAAATAAACAATATTATCATCATTATTATCATCATCATCATCATCTCCTTCTTCTTCGTCCTCTTCTGTTTTGTCAACCTCTGTCTATGTCTCTCTATTGACTAAACTTAACGCCAATGTTGTTGACGCGCGTCTGCATATGCTTCAGCACATCCTCCGAGAATTCCTCAATGGTAGTGAAGCGACTCTTCTGGAAGCTGTAAATGTCCGCCAAGAAGGCCAGCAGTTGCTCCCGAAAATAATGGCAAATATCACGTAGATTCTCGTTGGGCCCGAAAAAGCCCCAGGCCATCAGAGGTGATATCTGTTCCGATATCACATAGAAGTGGGCCATAAATCCATTTTGAAATTTAAGCATACGCTTCTTTGCCTTTAGCACCGACCAGACAGCCGTTGTCAGCGCCTGGAATAGAGAGAGAGAGAGAGAGAGAGGAAACAGAGATTAAATGCCATTCAGTAAGTCAGCAGAGAGAGCGGGACATAGAGAGGAGAAAAGGAAGAGAAAGATTCGGAGCTGGCTAGCCTCGCTCAGCTCTCTTGACAAATTGATACTTAATTAAGCTGCTTATCGATTAGTAACTCCATTTCTGTTTCAGTGTTGAAAACGGTATTCGTTAACTGCTACTGTTAACCGATTCTGTTAGCAGGTTAACAGATCTAGCTTTTAGGTGACATTTCAATTCATAGTTTGTTCGCTCTGTTTGTCGTACCGTTTCTTTGAAGCCATTGGACAGCCAACGATTCTGAACAACGGCCGTAACGCTAGCTGGTGGCGCATCCAAGTCCCGGAACGAGTCCAGTATGATGAAGTCAAGGCAAATGTCGTAAAATGTCATCGCCTTCACATTGCGCTGCTCGAGCTCCATTTGGATGCACGGCCAGTTGCTGGGCTCCTGCAGATAGTTAACCATATCCTCGTAGCCCACTAGGAACTCTTTGGTGTCCTTGTCACCCAGGCATAACAGATCGGTCAGTATCTGTCGGCCCGCATCGCAAATCCATTGCCCGACGGCCGCATCTTTGAATAGATACTGAAAGGCAAGTCGTACGCAGTGCAGCTTGGCCAAATATTCGGTGTCGCTGCTGCAGTGCATCAGCTCGGTCCGCATCGTCCGACAGGGCACTGTGTACTCTTCGTGATGCTTCAGCGCAGTCTGAAACAGCGGATACTCTTCGTACGCCATCTCAATAAAGCCATCGAATTCGCGCAGATCGGCCACTTGGTCCAGGGCTGAGGCGAAGCTTTCTGCGGAATCGAAGTTGGGATCGGAGCCAACGCGACTCAATACGCTGCCCGACTTTCGCGAATGCCGATCGTCGTCCCCGTCTCCGGTGGCAGCCAATCCGTCCTCCTCAGCCTCGTCTATGGAATGTTCCTCGCGGAAGAGCACCGAGCGCTGATCAAGGAAGAGAAGTTCGCTTTGCTCCTGCAGCGTATACGCCATTTCCAGCAGGTTCTGAATCTCACGACAAAACTCCGAGTCTTCGGCTGTTGTCAGCGAGGCTGGTACTCCGCCGGGCGAATAGTGCGCGGCCAGTGCATCTTCCCAAAAGTTTATCACTGTATCCAGTGCCTCCATGCCCATCACACCCAGCTGTTGGGCCGTCAGCTGCGGCACTACTCCAGCGCCACCGGTCCCTGCCAATTGCTGATTCTGTGCCATGGCACCAATAGAGCCCGACGCCATTGACAGGCGATCCGAGTACGCCACCGTCGAGCCAACGGGACTGCCCGATCGCGCCGATGCCTTCGAGCCAGCCACGGACGTCAGATCGTTGGGACTCCGCATGCTATTCCGTGTGCGTCGTCCGGTATACTTGCGCGGCCTTCGGATGGGACGCGGCGGCTTTCGCCGTCGCAGGAACCGTGATAGGACACTCATCAGGGCTACGCCGGCTGTCAACGAGAAGAGCACAACCTGCAATGGAAATGGGAGGCGATCGCATTAGGTGACTGCTAACCCGGCTGAGTTGAATGAAAACTGTACACACTTTTGTCGTTGTGGATACCCGAAAGGGCAGGATGCTCCATCCTGGCGTGGCCAGGGGACGACTCATGCCTCACTTAACTGTGGAATACTTTGTACTCGGGATTCTGATTGGGATTGTGCGTGATTTTAGGTTAAACTGGACGGTCCCAATTACGCGCGCAACTTTCAAGTCGCGTGCACATGGGCCGTTGTTTTTGCTTTCGCCAGCTTTGAATCGCGTGTTGTTTGCCCGAGTTGTTGTTGCAGTTGCCTGATGTTGTTGTTCTTGTCGCTGACCTTTTGGAGCACGTTACAGCAGTAGAAGTATTATCGTTACTTCTTCACTGATCACTTAACACACACACAAGAGCGTAAAGTTGTTTTGATAACAACTTAGTTTATGTGTTAATCAAATAGCAGTCGAGTGAAACTTTCACTTTCTTCTCCAAAACAACAATTGCATCACAATCGAAGGTTTGGCCTACAAATATGAATAGCGGCGTACTACCTGCAGTTGTTGCCAGTAAACCGAGCCGATAGTTGGTTATCGATACCCGATACAGGTTGTTAACAGCTTATTGGCAGGGCTGTTCTTTAATTCACGCAAAAGCTTAATTTTACATGCTTCCACCCTTTACTTGTTGATTTCGATCCGCACAAACAAATTCACTTATAGATTTATAGGAGTGCGAATTTGCTAATATTATGATTGTTCATTTTGTATTATTTAAAACTTTTGCACTATTATGGAATTAATAACTAACTTGTTAATTATGCACAACCAATCCATAAGCTGATCCAAAAAATGACAACATATACATTGTCACTGAATATCTTGGAATTTATTTAAATTACTTGTTTTTTTATTTAACCAATTTATCCTTGGCTATAAGAATTAATCGATACCCTTAAGATGTTAGCTGCGAGAGTAACATTGCTTACATATGCTGCTTGCTATGCAACTCGGCGCGCACTTTAAATATGAATACTTGAGCAGTGCATAAATTGAACTTGAACTGTAAGATTAAGCTGTGATATACTTGAGGAGCTGAAGTTGGCCAGATTACTAGGACTATAGATTGTAAAGCATAAATAAAGTAAAGGTTATTGAAAATATGGTTAGTCTGTATGCTATCACTTTTGAGAATAAACAGCGGATGTGGACAAAGACACTGCCTCTGCTGCTGCGGCTGCTGTTGCGACTGCGGCTGCTGGCGTTGCTGCTCTGCCAACATCAAAGTCAACGTCACTGCCTCTGGCTTAAAGCAACCGCCTGCCAGTCGAACTTTAACGGCGCTCGCTAACGGACGCGTCTGACTTGCTCTCTGGCACTCTCGCTCTCTTTCACTCCGGCCAAACGCGCATCGTATATAATTCGAATGTAAGAAGCAACGGCTAATATTCAAGACGCTTCCTTAAAGCATAAACTAACTGTTATTGTTGTGCGTTTCTCCATCCCATTCCCCATTCCCATTCCCATTCCCGTTACCATTCCCATTGTCCATTGTTGCTTTATGGCCTCAGTGCGTGTGCGGTGCGTGCTAATTAAACCGTTTATTGCGTAGGCGCAAAGAGAAACTTTTTTGTCGCCTAAGAATTCTGATTTGCACTGTGTTTTTTGTTGTTGTTTGTTTTTGTATACGTTTATTGTCATCGTTTGTTTGTGATTGTTTATTTTTGGTTTTTGTTTATTTTTTTTTTTTTTTTGGCAACAGAAAGTGTGCGAAGAAATTGAAGCCCGGCAAGAGCATACGTTTAAATAAAAGCTGATTGTATTTTATGCAAATTCTTTTGCAGTTGTAGCCAACTACTCGGACGACAACAGCGACGACAACACGTAGCAGCGACAGCATCATTAAAACGAGTCAGCTAGAAAGCACAGATCAGGTAATTGAAATCATAACAAATTGAATTATCCCTTGATAATGATTCCGCACGTGCACTTTGAAGATCAAGGCCAGCAGAATCCTTAACTCGACCATGGCAGAGGCAGACGCAGCGGCAAGGTCGTCGTCTACGTTGCCACTGCTACTTCCACTGTCAAGGTGAAGGTCAATGCAAGAGACGTCGGCAGCAGCTGCATGCAGTTTATTGTTGTTATATAAACGAGAGTCAGCTAGCCCAAGCACCCAACCACCCACACACCGAAACACACAGAGAGAGACTTTCACACACATACCACTACTACTACTACTACTACTACTAACCCAGTAAGCAACTGCGCATGTCTCTGCCGACGTCACTCTCTCCGCGTCATATCCTTTTTTCGCTGCTTTCTCTGCCATGACGCCAGCGCAGACGCTTCCGTCATGGCCGTCGCTGCAGTCACCGCAGTCACAGCATTGAACTTGACAGCAACTTTCAATGCGACAACGAGAGGCATAGCCAGCGGGAGATGGTTTAGATAGGTAGACAGAAACAGTAACAAGGTTAGTGGGTTAGCTTTGTCTGTGGGGTCTGCGCTCTGGTCTCTGGTCTCTGGTCTCCGCTCTGTGCATCGACTCTTTCCCTGTCGCTGTTGACGCTGGCGCTGGCGTTGACGTTGACTTTGACTGCGACGGCAGTGGTAACTGCGGCCGGATTCAAAAACCCGTTATCAAGTGCTCATGTGCTCTTTGATCGCCGCTTGCTCATGGGATTTCTTTTACAAGTCGCTTCACACCCGCCCATCCGCTCATCCGCTTGTCCGTTTCTCTGCTCGTTCGTCATTTAATATTGGAATATAAAACTACCTTATTCCGTTTCAATCCAACATCAGCGGCTCTGGGCCCATCTCAATTTTGATTACTCTTCATGGAAAGACAAACGCAATAAAAAAAAAAAAAAAAACCACAACCAAAATCCAACGGCAATTGCAGTTCCACCAGCGCCACATTCGAGTCGAAATCAATTCAATTTGTTTTCGTCATCAAAGTGGCACACAGGTGAAATTGCGACGCTCATTTGGGTTGGCTGAGCCGCCAAACAAGTCCGAGCAGGTGCATTTCGATCTATTCAGTTCGGATTTCCAACTGCCAAGCTCAATTCACTGCCAATCAGCATTCAAATGAACTAGCTCTATCTGGGAACATAATCGCCATACCAGTTAATAGCACTTAGTAGTATCTGGGAACATAAATCGCACCTAAATGAACTGCTGGGAACTTTGAATCATGATAAATTAACAACATCTCTAATTGAAATCGCTGATAAATGAGCAACAGTTCAAATGAACTAGCTCCATCTGGGAATGTCACAGTCATCATTTCTTTTAAACGTCACAGTTTCATTTTCGATCTACTACGAGTGAAATATCCAAAGTAAAGAACAGCTCAAATGAGCTGGTTCCATTTTTGACAGCAATACGAGTTCCCAGTAGTTAATTCTCAGGAAGAAAACTGCATTTAAAAGAGTTATTTGCACTTTGATTCCCGAATGATTCATTCAATTTTTTTGGTATATCATCAATTTCCTTAAACAAAGAAAAAACATTAATTATTCAAGTGAAAATTCTGAACTCCTGATGAACTACAGAATGGGTTTTCAGACGTATTGAGCCAGGTACGAAAGAAATGAAAAAGTTAAATACTTTGGATAACAGAAAGTCGTGAAATAGCCATGAATTAAAGCATAAAAATAAAAAAAATTATAACCCAACCAACTTGATTTCAAGAAATGTAGTAAAAATACTTTACTTAAGGCTTCCATGTTTTCCTGGCTTGACCAGTGTTTTTCCAATTCTGTTTACACTATATTCCCCACAGTACAAACAATATATTGGCTTTATGGTCTCTCCATATGAATACAAACCATTTCGATGGTATTGACGCTAGAGATTTGGTCGTGGCAAATCGTAAAATGCTTTTCTGGTATATCAGTAATCTAATTAGTATAGTCGCATTAACAACCCCAGATCAAATAGTTATGGCGTCCACAGAGACGTGCCAAATTGTCAAAGCCATGTATGTATATCTCTTACATTTTTATAGATCTAACCAGCCTCAAATTTGGATAATTGAATTGCTGATAAGCCCCTCTTTGAAAAATACCTCATTATTTTCGCATATTTAAAAATTTGTACAGTTAAGTTACCTTTGAGCCTTCTAAAAGCTTGCCAAAAATTATAGAGCCGAATCCAGTTTTAGATTAAAAATTTAATCAGATCTTAAAAGATTAACAAAAATAAAGCTTAATTTGATTTGATTCGTGCGTTCCATTGTTCTGTTGAACAGTGTTATTTGGGCGGCTCCTTTTTGGCCTTAACGCCCTAGCCGCACTTGGCACTTGCCACTTGGCACTTGGCTGCTGGCTTAGGCCCGCCTCTGGAGTTCGATGACTTGCAGCACGTCAATCCGCTTGGCACGCCGAATTTTACGCTTGACTGAGATGCGGATGAACTGGCGTACGTTAATTACCGGACTGTGAGGGTAGCTTGAGGGGAAAGGGGGTGTCGATGATAGGGGCCAGAGGCGGCTTTCGGGGAAAATGAAGAAAAGCTGTGAAGCTGGCGACGACGAAGCGTGTGAGACAAGTGTAATGAAAACAAAACAAAATACTTTCAGCCAAGAGGGGAGAGCGGGGGGCTGGCGCCTGAGTAAGTGGATGTTAATGCCTGCAAAACGAATAGTTGAAAATCTCGTGACGAAATCAAAAACAACAAAAATTAACAAAACGGAAAATTACTGAACAACAACAACAACAGCAACAACAACAAAAGCCAAAGCAAATCTGGTCTGAAGTTTTTCACTTTCACTGGCGGCAACTGAAATTGCGGTCTAAATGGATCCGGCGGGGTCGCTGTTCCCCAATTGACGTCGATGTGACTGCTCTCGATTGTGGGCCGTCGGTCAGAGGGGGTTGGGTTAATGGCTAGGGCCACGCTCTAATAACCCAGCCGCGGCATTTCACTCATTTCACTCATTTCACTCGCCCAGCCAAATGGGGAAATTAGAACCCGCGCCGACAATTTAACGGAAGCTCGAAGCGAGTGATTCACTCTCTCAGTACTCCGGAAATATTCAAGCCTTTCAATTACTCTCTGCATTTAAACTGTTTTCAAATACAATTTGAATTTGCCATGAATCAAACAGCTCTAAGCAGACACCGACTGCTGAATACTCTATTTTGCAATATCAAAAGGTCGAGTTCCTGGAGTTACAGCTGATAGTTTCCAGAATACTCCTCCGACTACAGATACTACATATTTGTAGATGAATTGAAATCTGTAATGAATACCCTGTAATCGTATCACTATATATTTGTGGGTGAATTGAAATCTGTAATTAATACCCTGTAATCGTATCACTATATATTTGTGGATGAATTGAAATCTGTAATCCATACCCTGTAATCGTATTGGAATGCTTTTCGACTAGAATTAGTTTTGGGCAGATATGTGCTTGGAGAGAATCTGGGTAGCTTACATCTGTTCGTCACTCTGTCAGTTGGTCAACTATACCCTGTAATTAGGACTTAGTTGTTGCTTTAGCTACCTACATATGTATATTATTCTTATATTCACATATTAATAGCTTAAGTTAAAAAAAAAATGCCGTTACAGAGCTAAATGCAAGCTGTCAGTAATACCCTGTAGCCATTCCACATTCAGGCATACCCTGTAATAGGTGACTTGACTTGAGTAATTTAAATTTCTTAATAGCAAGAGGGAATTTCTCCGATTATATATTCATATATGTTTTTATTGGGCATGCGAATACGGGCAAGACCCTTCGAATATCCGACGGATCATAGGTCGGAATTGCTGATTATCCAGCTGCGCAGGGTAGCGATGCTTTCGTAGCCGTCGGGCGCTTCCCGGCCGCAGGCGCCCAGCACAAAGCTGGCCACGCCTACGAGGCGACCCTCGTGGACAGCCGGTCCGCCGGAGTCGCCGTGGCAGGCACCCAGATTGGCGCCATGCAGCAGGCACATGGTCGTCGAGGGCAGACGCCTCATGTAGCGGCTGGTGCACTCGGAGCGCGCAATGCTGCGCACCTGGACGTACAGCAGGTCGTTGGAGGTGGGTCCACCGTGGTAGATGGCGCCCCAGCCGGAAATGTGCACTACGGCATCAGGTGGCGGATCCTTCTCGGCCAGCGGGATGGCGACAATGTTGGCATTGAGGCCGAGTGGCCTGGCCAGACGCAGCAGGGCAATGTCGTAGCCCTGGCCCCCATTTAGGTACTGCGGATGCACCTTGATGGCTGCCACATCCACGTAGACAGCGTAACTGTTCAGCCTCAGGCTGCCCGCCTGCACCGCCAGCCTGGACGGATCTGTGCTGTGGACAGTGGGTTAGCGAGCGCGACTTGCGGCACTTGAGTCTAGTGATTCAACTTACACATCCTGTCCGAACTGGACGCAGTGCGCCGCAGTCAGCACATAGCTGGCCGATATTATGGAGCCGCCGCAGATGTGATGGCCAAAGTAGCGCAGCGACACCTGATGCCCGAACTGCCCGGCACTGGCGCGTCGTCCGCCCACAATGCGCGGACGTATGGGCACCAACGGCCGGCTGGTTGTCGTCTCTTCCCACTCCTGCTCGCAGCGGGCTAGCGAGATCAGCAGCAGCAGGAGCAGCAGCGGCGTCAATAGTTTCCCTAGCAGATCCATTTCTCCCGTCAAGTGCTCGGCACGAGTTGGCGTTGCCTGCTTTTATATGACAATCCATCATCATCACCTTCGTCATCATCATCACCATCATCATCATCAGCCACGGTCCCTTCTATGGAACTTATCAGTCTGCTAAATGACAACGCCTTAATTACCCAAAAAAAAAAAAAAAAAAAA